CATACAATTACGTAACAGATATGAATGAAACCTATTTACTCGTTAGGTATTATATTAAATACATTTCAACCTTTTCGTAGGCGGCTAAAAATTAAATAACATATTCAAAATAATCTTTTAATTATGCGCCGCCTCCGAAAAGGTTGAAATGTATTTAATATACTACCTAACGAGTAAATAGGTTTAATTCATATCTGTGACGTAATTGTATGATTCAAAGAAATAGAAATTACTTCATTAGGAAATAGAAATTATTTTATACTTTTTAGTGCATTTCGAAGTCGGTGTATTTTTTTTTTGAAAATTATTTTATTCGTGGTCACGAACCGCCGATGACCTGCGACTTACAAACTATGATTCTTGACATATAACGGTAAAGCTGCTACAGATCTAGACAAAAAATTCAAAATTTGTCCATTTTGGGAGGCCAATAATATGGCGTAAATGAATTTTCGAATTTGTTTGTTTAAAAAATATGTTAATAATTAACATAATTTTGTTAATTTTTATAATAAGACTTTGAACTATTTTCAGAAAATTTCACATAGGTCGCCTACAGGTAAAAAAAATATATAGATAAATTGGAATTCTTAATTCAATTCGTGCAAAAAATATTTTTATATATAATATTCTGGAAATTGTGTTGTATTAAATTTTTATACTTATTTATTTAAAAGAAGAACTTAAAGGTCTATAGGTGTCCCTATAAAACATAGGACTCGACAGGTATCCGTTTGTCCCACGAAAGTTAGTATCATGCAGAATACTGATTGATAACACATTTAGCATTATTTAACATATAACACATTTAACATATTTGTCTATCAATTATTGAAATTACAATGTCATCGAGGAAACATTATTTGTACATAGTAAAAAATTTTTAAACTTAATTTTCTCAAAAGCGAAGCCGTAAACAAATGTTACATTTCTTATGCATTTTCTCGTGTACAATGTATCTATCTCCGATAAGATTTTGTCATTTAAATCATTTAAATAGAATCTGATGACCGTCTAGCAAATAGCATTAAATTTTACTGTTGGAATGTTCACTTACATTCAATTCTATTTCTCTCCAGACCTTCTTAGTAGCTTCGATGAGTTCGTTCAGCGTTTTGACTATTTGATTATCCGTTAAACAGGCTGCGAAATTATAGTTATTGATTAATTTACATTTGTAGTGTAAAATCGTTCGTAACATATCAGACTGACAATTAAAGCTATCGATAAAATAATATATATTTCAAATAATAAAAAATGCTATCTGTTGAATTTTAGCAGATACATATACAAGAAGGAATATAAAAAGATTTAACATTAATTTTCAGTCTAATGCAATGTTCGTTTTACTCACTTCTTTCATCCAAAGTTTGTATCCCAATATCTCCTCTTCTTGGATACCTTTTATAGTTCATGTTAGATTGGTTCACTAAGTCTGATTCATCCGAATGATTGTATTCTCTGGATTTATTACGAAACGCTACATCAAATAGTTCAGATTGATGAAAACGTTCAAAATCATCTTCAATAGAACGTTGATTATATTGATCCAATTGACTCCGTTGACTTGAACGACGATTATGATTCAATCCATAAGGTTGTTTGAAACTCTCTGATTTCTTTAGTCTATCAAAATCAAATTGGCTGTCATCTCCGAATGTATCTGATACTATATTTAATCGATGAGTATGTCCTTTCATTTGAAGATGATGATTAGGAAAAGACTGTTCTAATTTGGAGAAATATCCATCGAAATCGTTTGATTGTTTATGTTTGGATTTTGAATTCGATTTGTGAAATCTTTTAACTTTCGAGAGATCAGATAGAATATTCATATCAGCCAAATTGCTAGGGCAATCTTCATGTTTGAGCGCGTCGATGATGGACGACAATGAATACACATTGACTTGACTTCTCCTTTCCTTAAACTACAAACATAGTAATTCGTCAATGAAAAATAAAAATTCATACTTAACAACAATAACAAAAGAGCAATCTCATATGGAGATTAATTAAAATATTTTAAACATTGATCCCATTTTATCCACGGTTATTAAGTACCTCAAATACTTAATTTTATTTTTAACAATAGCGTAACGCACTTAAAGTTGTATTCAAATATTATAGACTAACGTTAATTGCGCCCAGGACATGGAAGGACAGTTTCCGCCTAACAATAAGAAGTGTCTCATATCAATGTTTTATAAAAATTATAAATATGATATGTGATATTGGGATGATTATTAAATGAAGTAAAATAAAATGAGGTTAATAAAATTGTACTGAAATATTGGATTGTCCGGAAAGTTCGTGCCGATTTTCGGTAGGCGGCATGAAATTTTATTTAGAATAATTTTTCACCAAAAAGCCTGAGATGTTCTGGAAGGACTTCTCAAGTTGCATAAAAGATGGAGAAAGATTATAGAACAGAATGGCACCTATATAATTTAATAAATGTGTTCCAAATGTAAATGAGCTGCGTTTCAATTCCCCTTAAAATCGGCATGAACTTTCCAGACAACCCAATATAAATGTAGGGTTGAGCTTTTTCGATTGAAGGCAGAATTAGTGCTGTAGTTTTAATATGTATTTTATTTAACTTTTATTTTACACCTCTCTCTCTCTCTCTCTCTCTCTCTCTCTCTCTCCCTCTCTCTCTTTCTCTACAAAAGAAAAATTACAGAATATAATAAAGGACGTTTCAACATGTACTGACTCGTTCGACGGTGATAATGCGACTCCCCTTTGTTTCCTAAACGACGTGACGACAACAGCAACCGCCAAAAGTTAGTCGGCACCGGCGCACTGTCATACCTGTCTCTTCTTCGGCTTCCGAAGAAATGCCCCTCAATTTGTCACGCTCTTTGCTAAATATTTCGATTGCTTCCTGTTGAATGAGCTTAACAATTCTTGCCTCTTTCCGCTGTTTCATTTTTCCTCCAAACATTAATTCAAAGTGTGACATTCCTACACTGCGCTGTTAAGTACTATTTATACTTCGTTGTAATTTGTTCACATAGCGATACCTCTGCTCAGGACTATCTAGCCATAATTTCGTTAACGTCGGTATTATAAAACGATTGATTCTTTCCATTTGTCAGTTTTCTTGTTGAACTCCTGTGATAATGAGTATATGTTCCATGTTTTCCTTATTGCAATATTTCTAAAACTCCGCTAAGGTAAAAACCATATCTCTGTCTAAAATAATCCGATCAGGATCCCCAAACGTTTTCTATTGTACTATTAATTCCTCTAGTACTCCTTTCGTTTTCACCGTCATTGCGGAATATGTCCAAACGAAATTAAAAAAAGCGTCAACTATTACGAACAGATGCTTGTAATATTTTTCAGTGACAGTCATCGGCCTTAAATGATCGACATGATACGTTGATAGTGACATATCTCCCTTCGGTATCGGCTTTTTCTCTCCAGTTTTTCCGTTAATATTGGTACACAGTACTCCTCGTTTATACTTTCAACCACTTGCTTCACTCCAAATTGCCTATTTTTATGCAATTTTCGAATATCTTTGGTGTACATACTAGTCAGTAAAACAATGAGTTTTCAATTTGCCAAATAGTTATTGTACGGTTCAGTTTTTAATACTTGCTTTATAGCCCGGATTCGTTTGGCTTCGTCCTGTCTTCCCCACACATTCCTATTAAATTATCTTCGATTACACAGACTGGGTATCGACTTAATGCATCAACGTGACGTAGCTGCGATCCCAACCGGTGCTCAAACTGGTATTTGTATTCCTCCATGTTGCAACTTTATGCGACAAATCCTCTTTGGGCAATGGAAAGCATCTCAAACGGTAACTTATTTAAACTTTACATCTAATAAATATACTTTAAATTCGGAATCGCTTTAATAATAGCTAATACTTCAAGCTCGCAAGAATGATAATTCTTTTCGGCGTCCGACATTTTTTTCTATCAATTAAATGCACCGAGTCAAACAATTTTTCCCCTACATCCTTCTGTAAGAAAGCCGCACCTTCTTGTGTCCGTATGTAATTCAGTTATCGCCTTAGGACTTTATTTAAATATAGGACTATATGTATGTAAATATGCAACATTAGTCCGCTTAATAAACAATGTTTCAACACATTAAATGATTTTTGCTGCTCTGTTTTAATCCGAAATTTCATGCCATTTTTCGACAATTCTGATAACAATGAGCAAGTTAATTTGGCACAGTCGCGAACAAATCTAAAATATCTAGTCAGGCCCAAAAAGCTCTGCTCTTATTCATTAGTTTTCGACGTCGGAAAACATTGTACGGCCTTCGTTTTTGCAGGCGACGAATATATGTATATCGGCAAGAAGCCAGAGAAAGGGTTAGCCATTTTAATAGAAAACTCTTTATTTTTCTTCCTCTTCTTTATTAACAACTGCTACAGTGCTCTGCCACGATACGTTTTTCACGCTAAAGGGGTAAACCTCGAATGACTTCCCGCGTCTTCCTCTTGCTTCGTTTGCTCCTCGCTTATCGCCTATAATTCGGCATGAATGGTCCTTATCGGTTGTTATTATTTTCGGGCGCGCCAACGCTCCGTTCCTTTGGCGCGCTCCATTCCCGACATATATATGTTACCGTGAAAGACCGAAATCTGAAGACTGTCGACTTTCGCCGGTGAATGTCAGCATTCACATAGTCGCTTGGTGTATGTCCGAAATATTTGCTAAATACCCTTATTTCTGACTTACACCGGTAAATGTCGACATTCACCATGCACTAATGGTGAATATTGAACATGTCTGAGATTTATATTTTACGGAGACGTAACTTTTGCGCCTCTTTTTTTGAGAGGAGTGACTAAGAATTTAAAACACATAGTACATTCTAAGGATACGTGTTCTTCCTCCGTCGTCTATTCTGGTGTGAGTTTCATATAGTATACTGAACAATTCTTCATTGGTAACATAATACCGTATATTCGTTTCCCCTGATTTTAATGGCACAATTAATTTCTTTTCATCATTCATTTTTAAAACATCAAAACGTTTTAATCGTCTGTAATCTAAAGGTGTGCTGCACTTAGTTTTAGCACAAACCACTTCAGAAAGTATTTTAGAGTACTTTCCTTGAGAAAAATAAAAACAATTGTTTTCTCGTTTACCCGCAATTAATGCATTTAACTTTTCAAGAAAAAGATCACGATTTACTGCAGTATCCATTCAGTATAAATTACGGTATTGGAAAAAAAATTAAGAAAACGTTGCTCGCATCATCAAAGCCTGCATAACACTAACAAAGCTGACTGACTCCCAGCAAAACAAATGATTTGGCGGGAGAGAGCCAGTCGCCTCTTTGTCGGCTCCTCTCTTTTAGACCTCCACCAGAGCATGCATGTGATTGTCGACATACACTGGTGAGGGTCCGAATGGACAAGAATGTAATGAAATATTCGATCTTTCACCCACGTATTTGGTCTATGTTGACATTTACCAGTGAAAGTCGACATTCTCCAATTTCGGTCTTTCACGGTAACATATACAGGGTGTCCCATAACTAGTGTTACTCCCTGAAAGGGGTGGTAGAGGACGTCATTCTTAACAAGATTTTCCTTTGCAAAAATCGGATTTGAACCTTCGTTTTTGAATTATTAAGCAGAAACACGGACCAAACAGAGCGCGAGGTTTACGCGCGCCCAGACGCGAGATCAACAGCTTCGAGTCTAGCGGCTGAGCGTGAACGTGATAGAGCGCCTTTACCTCGGAACAGTTTAATAAGAAATCTTTACATCAAAATCCAGTTAAATAACGAGCAAAATAATTAGAAATAGTGTTCATTTATTTATCCTTCGCGAATACATAATAAGCAAATTTGAATAAGACTCAGCTCAGCTGCTAGGCTCGAACCTTTTGCTCTCGCTTTTCGACGCGCGTAATCCCCTCTGATTGGTTCGCGTTTTTGCTTAATAATTTAAAAATGGAGCTTCAAATCCCATTTTTACAAAGGAAAATCTTATTTAGAATTGCGTCAGCTACCCCCCATTTCAGGGATCTACACTAATTGTGAGACACCCTGTATATAATAGATGGCATACCAAATAACAACAAATCAGACAAAGCAATTTTATAAATATAATGCTAAGACCTTGCATGCATTGAAAAGAAATCTTGGAAAAAAGGTATCAATGAAGAGAAAGGAGAAAATGGAAACGAAGGTAGTAGTTCCTTGACAGGAGTGAAAAACGTAATGCTACGGATGTGGTTCGATTGAACATGCTGTGAAAGATTGTATTAATAAAGACTAAAAAAGTGGAAGCAGAAAAAAGTAAATCCGTGAAATGTGTACGAAGTACCGACAGTAAATGTTATGCAGTGAAGTTAAACATGTATTGTCCTGTGTTATGCATTTACAGATGCGGGCGGTGACGTGAGCTTAATTAGAAGGGACATATATGTATATTCATGCTGCATTCAACAAGTGCAACATTACATCAATGCGGATGGCCATCGCTTCGAAGATCTCTTGTAATGTGAGTCAATCTCTTTTATTCTACTATTTGTAACCGGATGACCTTCTGTGAGGGGCTATTGCAATCATTTAAACGCCTGCTATTCTACTAGGAATATAAAAATATAGAGCATTATTTAACAAAGTGGAGGTGACCATCAAATTTTCAAAAGTCCTTCGCCTAACAAAAAATTATTAGTAGTATATTACGGTCTCTCTTGAACCATTCAACTCTCATACAAAAAGTTTTTCTGTGCTTCTAAAATTACCAGAGATATTTAAGGCAGACAAAGTCACTAGGCCACCCTGTATGTATTTCTGACTTTAGTCCTGACAAAAATGTTTTTATTGCATTAGTTTCTGCGATTTTGTTACACTGTGTAGCTAAATTTGACTGCTTCATTTCATTGCAATTTTTAATTTATAATAGGCTAAAAACACGACTATTATAATCTATAAG